ACTGGCTGCCTCTCTGCGCGAGTTCGATGTTGTCCGAACGGAGACGGAAATTCGGAGTAGAAATAAATTATAAACGCGCTCTCTGTTTAAATAACTAACGAGCCAACAGTAAAGCCGCGCCGCCGTAGAAATAGAAACTACGCGGTGGATAAATAGCCAGAGAATTTCGTCGCTATAAAGAGTGTTTGGCAATTGAGGACATAATTAAAAGAAATTTCTTTTCTTGTGATTTATCTGTGGTATTAAGGAAAAGTCGCTGCTTTTTATTTCATCGAAATAATAGTGGCAATAGCCACTTAAATTCTGAAGATATTATTAAGAACATTATTGTCGTAATCGCTGTTCGATTTAATCCTAATCGGTATTCGCTCTGAAATTTTATTAACTCATATTCGCGAATCCAGTGTATTTTAGTTAATGTATCTTTGCTTAAAGTTAATGTAATTGAACGAGATTATTTGTAATTTTGAAGATCAAAATCCGAGGAATAATAATTATAATACGTGTTAGATCGACGAGAATAAATCAATTAAGAGAAATAAATCTATTTTCGGTCAAAGAGAATCTTAGTTCTTAAATATTTCAGAGTGAATTTATATACTTATCCAATTCTGCAAACCGCCGAAATCTTTTTCGGTCTTAAAGCGCAATCATGAATAGTAAGTAGTCATTACTAGAGTAGTAATATCACACATTAAATTAATAAGTAATTTAATAATTTTTGATGCTGATAATTATCTTAGAACGATATTAATAGTTTGATGTTGATTCAAGCATCTTAAGAACTGTAAATCATTTAACCCTCGAACCACACACTTATTTTCGGTACCTTTGGACGATACACATGGATCATTCGTGTCCGACTCGATTTTAAGGCTCTTAAAAATTTCTAATTCTAAGTGCTCGAAAAATTTTGTAAAAATTCGCACATATTCTTTAAGGTCTCTACTATACTAAATTATCCTGCTATGCAAACATTGGAAAAAATGTTTAGAAAAATTATGGAAATTACTTTCTGTACCAGAAAAAGAAAATAATTCAGTTTTGATATAAAAATTGTAACTTTGATTTTTGAAGAAAAAAGCAGTTTTTGATTTTATTAAAATATAAAAATAATTATTTTTAGTGCATGTGGACACGAAAGATCCAGTGTGTTCGAGGGTTAATTTATTGCGAAAAATATCGTTGGGATAAGATCATGTAATTTAAAATTATGCGTCATTGTAAAAAACTATTTGTTGTAAACAATTTTTCACAACGCAATTAAAGAAAATATCCGGGTCCACTGCACCTGCAAATATCGATTAAGATTAAACGTTGCTATTACATGTAAAAACAGATCCGCACATTAGCAGAATTTTCAAAAATAGATATTCGTTGCTTTCGAATGATTTGTGTGTCCGTCGGCTTTGGAATTTGATAAAGTTGCTCGTAATTCGAGCCAGAAGTCGTTCGTTCTCGGCATTATAATTGAAACTTTAACATTATACGGCCTCCCCGGCTATTTCCGCGTCTCTTCTGTCTTTGATATGGGCGCGCACGACCACATACCTCATATAACAGTTTAACCAGCATTCGAATTCCTACGGAATTAGTGCGAGTTCGCCTGTGAAATTTCTCGTTCGCGTTATCCGCGGATGCACAGTTTGCCCTGGGAGAAATGGGGCGAGGAGCGGGGGATTGAGGTTTCGGTGCGAGACCACCGCTTACGGTCGCGACGAGGGGATGGTGGCGAAGGGGTGAACGGGGGTCGCGAAGAATGGCGTCGTGAATTACTTTTCCAAATGCTCCCGATCCGACTCGAGGCTCTCCTTTCTACCGCGCCGCTTCAGGGTAGAAGCATCCAGGGGTAGGTGGCTCTTCCAATTTCCAGGCGTGCCAACCAGATTGAATTTCTATCGTCTTCGACAACGACAACGACGACGACGACGACGACGACGACGATGACGACGACAACGACGATGGTTGGCGGCCGATCATTTCGCGAGATATCGGGTAACTGGGTTATGTTTGCGAAAATGGCTTCGAGCCTCTCGATTTTTCTCGGTAATGCTACCTCTCCGTTCCTAGCAACGTTCTCTTTCTCTCACTTGTGTCTTCGTGCGTTTACATATTTTTCCGTCTTCCTCGCTCTTCGTTTCGGTTTCTATCTCCTCGTTACCAACTCTCTGTTCTGCCCTCGCGAAACTATTGTTCGGTGAGACGAATCGAATGAATGAGACATCGAAAAATCTCACGTTGATCGACTGAACGACCACGAATTGCGTCTCGTTGACATCTATTACATCAGATAGAGAAAAGCAGTTACAAAAAGGCAGATAATATCTCTTTGGTATTTATTATTATTTTGCAATGCAATTTATATCACAAGGAAAAGATCTTGAATTAAAACATTAAATTTTTTAAATATGTCAAATACAAGCATAAAATCAATTCAGAAGAACCGAATCAAACAGACTACAGAAATTTAATTAAACGTTAATATTGCAAAGGAATAAACTTGTGAGAAATAAATTATAAAAGCTGTAATAATTTATATTTAATATTACAAGAAGATTAATTTTTTATCAGTAACTAAACCTTTTCCGTTTTGTTTAGTTTAGCGTCTATGAAATAGGAATATTATCGGTTATTCCAATTTTTTAATATGTATATGTATCCAAACCATAGTCATAGCTCGCAACTTCGTATCCTCACGATGCATGGAGGACGTCTACAACGAAATCCGTTGCAAATAGCTCCTGCGGGTGCAGTAGTGAAGTTTGAGAGGCACTTCCTTCATCCCCGACTGCTTTTCCCTTATATCGAAAGACGAGATCAGAAGAAGAGGTATTACCAAAGCGAAAGAACGGCGGGAAGACTTTCTCTCGTCTCACGTCTCTCGTCGTCGTCGTCGTCGTCGTCGACGATGTCGAGACACCTCTCTTGTCCGGGAGCGTGCGAGCGACCGGTGTGAACTTCGCCGTAGGGGATTATGCAAACGGGAGTGGTTTCTGAGTACGGGAAGAGAGATAGAGAGAGAACCCCGCGCCGCGCACCGCGTTGCGTAGGGGTGGATGATGACGGTGACGGTGCCTGGTGGTGGTGATGGCGGCGAGCGGGTTCCCTTGCTTGTCATTACCACGTTTGTGGCTTTCACCGCCCGGGGTGTCGGTCGCTCTCTGTTTCGAGAAAGCCTGGCGCTAGAGAATAATTGTAAAAACTCGTGTTCTCTCGCTTTTACAGAATATACTTTTTTTATAACGCGTCAATGACGCTCTTAAAACTAATTGCAAGCGCGCGCCAAAAATTAATAATACTAATCGAGATTGTTGTCTCGCGAAAATGCCCGATGTAAAACAGAAGAATCAAAATTTTAGAGCTTGCATGAGTAAGTTTCCGCGAACTGCAGTGTGATAGGGCCATTTTGAGGATTTCTAGGATTATCACAACATGGTTGTTGAATTGCTGATTTAAAGTAGAGTATTTTTTGTTTAGTTGTCATACGTAATCAAATTCTGGACATAATATAAAAAGTTATTTGCATTAATACTACTTCGACAAATCAGAATTCCTTATATTTAATTTTAATATTTTTGTTGAATGTACAGTATATTTATTAATTTTTTTCTTTGCTGTAAATATATTTTACATTTAGAAAGAATTTCTATTATGACTCGAAATAGGTTTCTAGTTGGCAAAACGATGACAACATAGTATGATGAAATTCAAAACTAAGTAGTCACGTTTAGCACTGAATATGCATTGAGAATGCGAAGAGAGAGAGAGAGAGAGAGAGAGAGAGAGAGAGAGAGAGAAAGACAAGAGACGTTGTTTCATTTAGCATTACAACAACTGGCAGAATCAGCTGATCCCTTCACCGCGTTTAAGTAGCAGGATGGTATTTCCAGATTCTAGTATTAACAATAAATACTCCTGCGGATTTCCATGAGCTTAATATTCATGATGTTGTTTATCTCATAATTCTGTAAGTAATGCAAGTCGTATACAATGATGAGCACAATGATGCTAATAATACAAATAATGTAATATTACATATAATATAAATTTAGTTTATATTATTATGATATCTTTTTGATGATTATATAAAATCCATCCATTTCATAAACTTTAAATATAAGAAAGATATTAGTTTTAAGGATTTGTCGGTCTTAAAGAAACAAAAAGGCGCGTCAAAGTGAACCGATCCGCCGCGTCAGAATTTATGTATCTGTTGCACTGGAAATTCTATGGTTTCGTGAGCGGTCAGGACAGTTTCAACCTTTTTAGCAAAGCATAGAACGTAAGGTGCTCTTATGTTCAACTTAGTTTGTTCATGCCCCTCGGGATCGTCCGCGAAGTGAAAAAAGGCGGCGGTAGTGGCGGCAGAAGCCGAGGTTTTGGTTAGGCGGTTCGGAGTTCTCGAGCACCTACTCTTTATTACTATGTAATTAATTGTAATGGGGATTTCAACTGGGAAAACAGTCCTCCGAGAGCTTCCCCTTTTGTTCGCTTATTCTTGTTTCTTCTCTTTTGCACGTTTTCCCACTGCGTTTGCGTGTAATACCTATTTTCATATTGTTTCTTCTGTTTGCCGTATATTTTCATATTTGTTTCTTCCCTTTGCCTCACCCTTTCTCCCACAAAACTTGCAGGCGAACAAGATTTGTCTCCGAGTTTGAATTCGCATGTGGCGCATAATGTTCTTTTCGTGGTTATATCCTCAGCGGAACTCAGAGCTTTCGAGGCAGTTTGAGATTTATCATCGAGAAACTTAAACAAGTTGCTATATATAAATTTTTATATACGTTACTTCATGACATTTTTCTATATTAATTGTTTTAGTAGCTTATATAATTTTCGACGTTTCTTTGTTTTAGATCGACCCAAAGGTAGCATTTCCTAGGAGAACACATCCAAAGGTAAGAAAATTTGTTTATTTTTATTGATATTATTTTATTGCATTAATATGTCATTATTATAATTTGAATTTCTTCTTCTATATGTACCGTATATGTTTTGTGTTATTTAATCCTTATGTAAGTAGAGGAACAAAAGGGCTGTTCAGAGAACATCTTAAAAAATTTTAATTTTATATTTTTTACTTTGATATAGTATATTATGTTATAGTTAAATTTAATTATGCCTTGTAGGAGAGGGGAATGTAAAAATAATGAACTTTAAAGTTTCTGGACAATACTAATTGTCATTTCCTTTTCCAATATAAGTTTTTAATAAATCTATGGCTGGAGTGCTGACTTCTATCCAGTTAAGCCCATTTCCACAATATATGGCCAGCTACCTAAAGATTAAAGGTTATCATAAAATTAATAAATGAATTTCGTTGATGAATCTCTTGATATAACATTTAGGTAACCATATATTATGAGAATGGGCCTTAAAGGTTGATAATTAGTTGCACAATGCAAGACGATGAATATAACGAATAACAATTAAATAAAAATAACCTTTTTTATATTAGGTCGGGAAAAAAGTTTCTTCGTACTTAAAAAATTTTTTTGCAAAAGTTTTTCATTAGTTGCGAAATTTTCATTACAATTATATCATTCGCTAGAGCAAAGTTTCAGCTTTAAGAATCTGTTTTTTAAATTGCGATATGATTTTTATCGGAGTTATGAGCAATCGAAGTCAGAATGCTCCTTTATTTAACTCGCAAATAACTCAGGAACAAAAAATCATAGGAACATTAAAAAAAAATGATTTTGTAGGGAAAGCTTCAAACTTTCACGATAGGTAATCGAAAATGTTTGTAAATTTTTTTTGGGCACGTGAGAGACCCCCAAAGTGAAAAGAGAATTTTTCATCTATTTTAGCTTGTAGTTTTTTAAATGTAAAAATTATCAAACTCACAGAAACTCAAAAAATATGGTAACCTTTCGAAAGTAGAGATTTCAAGCTTTAAAATCCTTTTTTTAAATTTAAATTTCGTTCATTTTTGACGAAGATATTGTATATACAATTTTGAATTAAAAAATACGAAGAAACTTTTTCCCTAATCCAATATTTAAAATAACATTATTGATAGAAGCACATTATTATAACAAAGTGATATAAACGAAGCACTGAAAATCACCATTAGGGACATTATCGAAAATGATTCTAACATGAAGAATTGAAATGGTTCATCCATTTACGAGCGAATTGACGTTGACGTTTATAATACCAATTCTTTCAGCCTACGGCGTGGCAGGGTGAAATAACGGGTTAACGAGAATTACTCGTAGCTGTGCTCGCACGTTCATTTGGAATGCGGTGTTTTTGCCACGCATAGAAAAAGCACGGATGTGGAAACGCGTCGGCGTGGCGTCGGCAGAGTCGACGTAGGGCGCGGGCGGGAGAGACAGCTTAAAAAGTCAAATGACGACGCGTTTAGAGGGCGTGATTGAAGAGGGAATAATAAAGCCGACTGACCCTAGCAATAAGAGTAATTAAACGTAATTCGCTTCGAAACCTGGGATTACTTTCTTGCCGGCGACGATAATCATGGCAACGGCTTCGGTCGCGCCGAGAAAACGCGCGGAAAGCATATAACGGTACGTGGAAAACGTGAAATAGCTGATAGGGCAAACAGGATAGAATAGTTGTATGAGTGCACGCATACGAAAGCGAAAAGGGTAGAGTGACGAGAGAAATTTGCGCGACTTAATAATATAAATGCCAGGCATGCGAATTACCGGCGAGTGACTGAATTGCGCTAATTTTAATTGTACCCTTTCTCTTCTCCCACGTGACACGTTCTCTCTCCTTCTCCTCCTCCCCAACTCTCATTCTCTTGCTATTCTTCATACTCTGTATCTTTCCTACTGCTATTTTCGCCACTTTTGTCTACCATTGCATTTTATATGTTTTTATAACACGTACGCGCCACTTCCCGGCCAGCTTCTTCACTCACAAATCCCTCTTGACTGACCCTTTCAGCGTTTTATTTGGGTGGCAGAACCCGAAGGGACATAATTTACGACGCGCGTGTGGCTGAAATTACGATCCGCGAATGCCGTCGGTAATCACGCGTCTCGACAATCTGAGAATAAGGTGTCTGGCAATCTCGGGCTGAGAAACATTTGCCAGAAATCGGGGAAAACAAATTTTGAATTGTGAGAAATAGAACATTTTGGTGCAGACTTGAAATCAGGACAAACGTCACTTTTATGTTGCGTATGACAACCTTGCTTGGAAGTTCCAACTAAATCTCATCTATCACAAACGCAGAATGTTTCAGTGCCAAAATTTTGAATCCCAACTTCGGAACTTTGGCTGTGAGAAATAAAATATTCTCACAAATAATATAAAGCGGAGATAACTCGACAAGGCCTCAAGACAATTTAATATCGGAGATAGTAACCTACATATATATTTTTTATTCTGTATATGATGATTACTTTTCGTTCTTTGATGGTTCTAAATTTATTTCTTTCACGATGGTATAAAATTAATTTGATTTGTATATCTTTTTACCTTACGTCTTAAAGTTTAAAATTTATGTCATAAGATAAACGATCGTTACAACGTAAAAATCAAAAACCCTTGGTATTATAAAGATTATTTTAAATATAAAAAACGATCATTACGATGTAAAGATCTGTCGAATAATCCTTAATATAGTATCGTTTAAGATGACCTGATAAACATTATACTAAAAATTTATGCTTATAAATAGAATAATGAATTTGATTTATTAGAGATAGAGGAAACTTGGATTTAAAATCTAGGTCACGAATAATAAGACTATTTTAGTATAGATCGGATAATTCGAACTCTCGCGACGTGATTCAATTGATGACTTCATAATCGAAGTTTCTGGAACTAATATTTTCAAATTTCCAAACTTTCTGGATGTAGTATACGACATTTATTTTGCAGGTTACACAGGCTAATGTGAAAATGCATATGATGCTCGAAATAATACAACTGGCACTGTACGTTATATGTAATGTTTGTAACGAGTGCAACATACATATATAGCTTCAACGTTTTGGGAGTCGGATATGAAACGAGAGATGTAATTTTCATAAAATAACGCCAGCTTTTCCCCAGGCGTCACTTTTATTTTACATCTTCGCGTTGCAAAGATTTGAATAAATTGTGCCAATGCACGCTTCGAGATCGGAAACTATGCCAGGAAATTATTTTCCACTCGCACGTGTTTGGCGCGATTCCGTGATATACGGCAACTTACCGTAAATATATTACAGAGGAGATATGCTCTATTTTATATCCGTGCGCGGATACGCCTATCAATGTCGCGTACACGCATTAATATCTACTTGCAAACGTGTAATTTGAGAAAATCGATCAAATAAATTTCATATTTATTGTTCCTTGAGTAGGGATCTGAATATGAATCTCAACAATTTGTGATTTGTAATACACGTATACGTCGCGTCGAGTGTAACTCGTATAGCCTGGAAACAAGTCTGCTCGATTCTAAGCACTCGACTAGTAGCACGTTCAACTAACGAATGTCTTCTTGTTATAAGAATGAGGTTAATAGTCCGCGATTTTGCTCGGCTACACACTTTACGCGATTCCGCCTCGCCTGGAAGTCAAGTTAATATCACTCGCGAGGACACACAATAGGACACTTAATACCGCCGGTTCGTCAACACCCGAAACGCACGTTACTACGTTAGACCCGCTGAACTTTAGGAGAACGGTACCCGCCGCAAAGTTCATTGAAATGTCACCGAGTGCTCCTGCGCTCGTCGTAACAACCTCCTTGAGACCGCATGCCGGAAGCGCTTTGTTACCGCACTTCCGGTCTGACGGAAATGGCGCAATGCGCTTCCGACACGGCGGAAAAGTAGCGACAGTCATTACCGAGCCCCTCTACCCCCTTCTACCCTCTTTACGCCGCTCCTTTGCTTCAGTTCTTTGCTGCGCTCCTTTACGGTGAACGCACGAAAAAAGACCCCGGCAAGGATTTTACCGCTTTTTGAGAAAATGCGAGGCGTACTTCAGATAATTGTCTGGAAGTTTTGTATCCAAGGAAACGAATTGGAGGCATAGATCTGTTCGCGGCAACTATAGAGATCCATTTTAATCAAGGATACATGATATAATCTTTCTCTTTTTTTTGCAGGAAGTTAACATTCAAAAATAAATGTAGCTTATATCTGAGAGGGAATCACAGTGTCAAATGCTACATATACACTTGATATATTAAATGCTAAGTAAACAAAACATTTCATTAGCATTTAGAAATTTGGTATAAAGGAGTTGAAAATTTTTATTTAAAAAATTTGCTGTAGATAAATTAATATTTTGATTGCTGAATCTATTTTAAAAGTACTCTTTTTGAAGTAAAACAAGATTGAGGTGATAACAAAATTTAATGTTGTAAAAATCCTCAAAAAGGATTAATTTTGCACAACGTAAATATAGCTTTTAAAAATATATATCTGTTTGGTGCAATCTACTTGATCTATCTCATTGATCCTACGAACGCAAACGTCATGAGTGTGCTCGGGGTGTTTAAATGTGAGAGTTGAACTATTACATAATTCAGGTAAGCAGGGAAGATGATAGTACAACGCGATAACCCGTCGTAACCACGATCTGGAAAACTATAGCAAGCCCGAGGATAAGGGACGGATAACTAGTGCAACGCATAAACCGCGCTAGCCATCGATGGCGCGGCGTCGTCCCCTTAGTCGGAACGGGCGACTGTTCGGGACAGTAATGGCTTCGCCAATCCCCGGTATAATACCCACTTGTTACTGAGTAGTAATACATATACGCAAGACACACAGACGTTGTATATATGTATACATACGCGGAGGATATTACTCCAATCGCGCTGTGAGCTCGAGAGGCACCGCGAGAGAAAGAAGAAATAGAGATGCAAAGAAGAGGGAGGAAAAGATGGAGAAAGCGAAAAGGCAGAAAAGAGATACCGACGAGA